ACCCGCCCGGCACAAACGCCGTCTGTGCTGCACTGCTGCCGGGTCCTGCATCCTCCGAGCCATCGTGAGCCTCCGAAAGCATCGTGTAGTGGTTATTTGGTGGCAAATCAGCATCCCTTTGGGAGTCAAGTTTGTTAAAAACCCCCTGCGTTAATTGTGCTTCAGCTCACGTTCACTTGCCATTTGAATGCCTGATCTCTGTGAGATCTTAGTGAGAAAAGATTATTGCAGTAGTGCTTTGAAATTATATGGTGCCACTCTGTGTCTGGAAAAGCAGAAGTGAAACAGCTGATCACAGTTGCTGTTCTCTGAACAGAGAATCAAATGTGGATTTTCAGCGATTCTCTGTGTGGGCTTCAGCCAGGGCACTTCCACTTTGTGTGAACACAACTGCATGACCAGTGCTTTACACCCATATGGGCAAAACCCCTGGAGCCAGTGACAGCATAAGGGATCTCATGTTATTCAAAGATAACTGGATACAGTCTTTGTTCATTAATATAATTTTGTGAGGTAGCTTAGAATAGAGTCCTGGGTACTTTGATGCATCTGCAATGCTAATCTGCTGCCTCTGCATGTATTATAAATGTTATCCTACCACTTGAAACTGAGATAAGCAAGATGTTAAATATCTCAAATAGCAGCACAAAATGTTTTGCTGGTTCTTACCAGTTTAGTCTCAGTAGAAGAGAATATACATTTTTTTGCTACAGCAAGGCATAAGATTTTTGTCGCCAGTTTTTCCTCATAGAATGCTATTGGTTCAGCATCTTAGTGTTAGACCTCTTATGGATATAGATACTATTCTGAGGAGATAATTTTTGGACTCTAACACAAGCTTTTGCTCTTTGCCTTGAGAAATATCTCATCCTTTCTGCAAAATGTTTACATAAAACAGATACAGTCTGTCCCACATTAACAGATGCAGTCTGTCCCAAAACTTTAGATAAAGCACATCCAGGCTTCCCTGTTGCCTCTTGTTCCAGCAAATATCTTCTTTGAATTGATGCCTGCTCTTTGTTTCAGGCTCTGTGAAATACAGCTTGGGGAAGCTACTTCTGTTTCCACTGATTTGAATCTACCTTGTCAGCCTTTTCTGAGATCCCTAAAGATAGTAAATGGGAATATGATATTTTACTGTTGTGGGTCAGCTGCTGACAAATGTAAACAAATAAAAATATAAACACTTGGGACCGAAACTTCGGTCTGCTCTATGAATATTGATTTATGAAGAAACTGAGATGGGAGTTAAATTGGTATCTTTAATTAGAAGGAAATGGGCATCTTTTTGGTGCCTATTTTTTTTTTATTCTTTCTGGTTTATTTTTTTTTAGTTGGCAATTCTTTGAGTTGCCTGTATTTTTTATCCATACTGATTATCACAGTGGTTTACCACCACATTTGCATCAATATGTTGCATAATCCTCAATTATAATTTTGGTTTTCTGAGTTGCTATTCTCTGAGAAAGTTTTATTGTTTTTCTTGGCTTAACTGCAGACTGTCTCCACCCTCTTTCCTTCTGCAAGTGATCAAATTCTGTAAAGAATTCTCTGCTTTGGACAGACTATCACTTCCCACCCATGCTGTTCTCACTGAGGTTGGAAATGTTATTAATTTTATTTAGTGTAGGGAAAGGCTTGGCTAACCCTTCAGAACAATCTTTCAAGTTCTGTAATTCAATAAAGTCCTTATTTACAATGGCCATAGCTATTTTTCTCAGTGCTGTCCAAACTGAGTTCTCTCTGGTTACAAGAGAATGAGGCATTCTTTTCCTTTCTGACAGCAAAATGGTTCTATTTTATTTTTCAGTTCAGGAAAAGTGCAGCATAACCTTGTTTAAAAGGTTTTCTAGAAAAAGAAGCTGTTACTATCCACATTATGCTGTTCTTAATGGGGCTTGCACCAGGGACTGAGGGAGGAGCACTGGCAGTTATATATGACCTAGTGAGTATAAAACTGTTATTCTGAGATTTGGGTTTTCCAATTTTTTCCAATGCTAAACATTGTTTTTTCTTACACACCAGCACACAAGCACTGTATTTCAGTTCTCTCTGTTGATAAACTGTGTGGTTTATTTTTTCTTTGGACTCAAAATTATCTAAGTACAAGATAATATTTTATTATGATGTGGATAAAACCACTTCCCAATAATTGCCATTTCTGATGTACACAGTGCCTCTGACCTAGTCTGGTTTTACTGAGGTCTCAGCCTAAAGCTGGGCAGAGATGAACGATGATTTCCTTGCACAAACACACAAAGTGTGACTGGTGGCAGCATGGAAGTTGTAAATGAAACCTTTGGAAAGCTACACAGCACTGAGGCATTGGCTTCCTTCCCTTAGGACCCACCAAAGAGCAGCTTGGAGGGAGGTAAGAAACTCTGGATTTGAAAAGAAATGTCATCTCCAGGGTGACCTGTAACTTAGTGTCTTTGACGGTTTCATGGCAATTGTGTTAGATGTCACTTGACTGTACCAGCACTGCAATGGTATCTTACTTACCCCTTCCTTCCACCCATACAAAAGGAAAAAATCAAAGCTGAAAGCTAGTTTTTCTTTCCTGTGGTAATTGTGGTATGTTTTAAAGCACTGTGAACAGGTTTGGAAGTGGCAAGGCCTTTGAAAGAATGTTTGACATGGGCTGAAATCTGCAGCAGAAATTCCCAAAGATCCTTTTTCTATAGCTGGCTGCTTGTTTGGGAGTGTTTACTGGGATAGCAATTCAGTGTTTCATGTACTTCTGTCATGCAACATCTTGGTGAATTTTTTTCCAGCTTCTTGACCAAATGATCCCAGCAGTCCCTTCACCCATGTGGTCCAAGTGTCAGTCACAGATCAAGCCTTGTTTGTAAGGAACTGAATTAATGTCAAGATTTGAGTGCATCTGGACCCCCAGATACCCAAGAGCCAAAGGAATTGCCGTTTTCACTGCTATAGAGTTCCATTTCGTGCCCACCTTTGCACTCAGCTGTGTTGTGAGCAGAGTGGTAGCTCCCCCAGCCTTCCCTCTGCCCTTCAAGGCACCAGTGAAGTTGGCTGAAGGTGACTTGGCTGCGGGGCTGCAAGTGCTGGCAGCAGCTGAGTGCATTCCTTCCTCACCTCCCCTGGCAGCAGCCTCCTGCTGGGCTGTGGCCACTTGTAGCACATGGCACCACCACAGCCTGCACATCCACCACCTGGAAAAGAAAGAATAAAAGGGGTCTATGTGTGAGAAACTGGAAAAAATGGTGAATCTGGAGCTTCATCAACATGAAGTCAAGAGAGCATGGGCCTGCCTGCCACGCCAGTGTAGGGAAGGCTCCACCAGGACAGCTCAGACTTTCCAGAGATTCCAGAAGACTATTTGAGCATTTATTTTGACTCTCCCATATAAATCTCATTATAGTATTTCTCATGATATCCTGTGGGGAGAGTTAGGTCACAGCTTGGGTTAGATTTCATGACATGCTTGTTCTCTGTCTTGGAGATTAGGATTTTGTATGGTCTCAGTAGAAAGCAGAGGGTACTGAGGGCCCACTTATACTTGGAAATAGATACCTGGTTCATCTCCAGGCAGTCTGGAGGCATCAGGAATATATTTGAGAGGAGAGGAACCACAAAAGGACTCTGCCCCATCCCTGCTGCACAGCTGTTCTGTATCTGGAACTGTGACTCTGCCTTTGCTAGTGCTCTCTCAGGGCAAAGAAAAACAGATTTAGATGGAGTTTATATATATATAAACCCTATATATAAAAAAAATAGATAGAACAGATATGTTCATAGATATAGATAACTTGCTACAGTCCTTCCCCTAGACGCTATTTTCTGTACTTTATAATCTAGATGCCTGTATTTTTCTGCTGCAGGGACTTGTGCCAAGAGAAGACCCGCACAAGCTGAGCTGTCTCTCTGTGCCTCAGTCATGAGGAGCCATGACCCTTGGTTCTGCCTGAAAGGATCCCTGCAGAGACCCCAAGCCTGGCACCCCTTTCCTGCTGCTCAGTCGTGGGCCCTGCAGCTGGTGGGGATCATGCTCCACAGCTAAGCAGTAAGTAACTAAAGCTCCAAGTGTCCTGCTAACAGAGCGTCACCCAAGCATAATCCAGGCCCTGACTCAAATTGACAAGGACAGGTTGGGCTCTGAAATAATCTCTTTAAATAGCAGCAGCCATCTCTTTCAAAGGCACTTCCCCCAGCCAGCCCTGAGAGCTGCTTACAGCACACTGCCTGCTGTTTCCCACCCAGCAGTGCAGGGCTGACACTTCTCACAGGCAAGTGTGTCCCCTGCCAGCAGTGTCCCAGCTTTGCTCTGCACCAGGAGTTACCATGAATTTTGCAGCACAGTTTATCTACTCCAGGGTCTTAAAAAACAGAAGTCCCAGAGAGCGCTACAGGGAAGACGAAGACTACGATCCTTTCTGGCAAAGGTTGGAGAATATTGCTGTCTGACTTAGAGCTAGAGTGCTCCTTTATCCCCCTCAGGGGTCACGGTCAGCCCTCGGGGTCCCCCCAGGGTCAGGCCCACGGACATGACAACCCCTGGACCCCTCCTGCCTCCTTATGCTGTCGTAGTTGGAGTTCTGCTTCGCCTCGTTGTTTATGTAGTCGCTGTGCTGTATAGGTAATGCTTTCTTTTTCCTTTCCTTAACTCCCTAAAAAAATCAAACCAAACAAAAAATCCAAGAAATTGTTTGCAATTTTTCCGAATCTCCTGGGGTTCTGTGGATATGGGTTGGAGTTATCCACTGGAAGTGGTGGAGATTTTAATATTTTTAGCCCACAGAGTTCAGCTTTTTTATTTCTTCATGAGTATGGTATCAGAAATAACCGTAGACAGGCCAGTGGACTGCTGAAAATTTATCTTGGGATAGCCCATGTCAGATCCTGTTATTACAATTCTGTGGTTGTCTTTGTTATGGTGTTTATGGTGATCTTGAATTCCTGTTTTCAGACTTGGATGGTGCAGATGGAATTTAAGAGTCATCTAGTGTCCTTGTGTAGTATGAGCTGAGGCTGTGCACACACATGGCATGGTGGTGTTGTGCAACCTCATTCTTAACCTTTTCCATAGTTTGTTTTTCCCTCCATTTTATTATCTGGACACCACTATTGAGATCATGCTCTGGTTTTGCCAGATGTGGTACAAACAAGGAACAGTTCTATTTCCTGCATCTCCTTGTCACAGATGTTGTTAGCATTTAAGATATAAATTGTTTCAGTGGGCCTCATGCTGTGAATAAAGGGGAAGACAAGGTCTTCTGCACTGTAAAAAGGGCTTGGCCAAAGTCACCCATGATATGACCTGTCCTGCAGTGCGCTGTGGCTCTCCTGTCAGCACAGGACCAGTCTTTGCTTTATTTTGAGTTATGTTATTTGTTCCTGATTGGAAGTGAATTATGGGGATGTGTTAGTCACCAGAAAGCCTCTAGACTCAGAATACATTCAACTTAGGGAAAAGTTTAATTGCTTAATGAGTTTTAGCTGCCAAACTCTGTGCAGTGTTGGATAGCTATAATTTGGCATTCACAGCTGTGAAGGTCTTATAAGAACTTCTGAGAGGGATGAGTCTGTTTGAGGGACAGTTGGTTACCTCTGCTTCAACACTTCCATCATGAGTGCAGTTGTGAATTCCTCTTGCTTTCAGATTGCTTTTCCTAGTGTTTTCTATTTAGCCGCTGACACCCAGTTGCCATTGCCAGTAGTAAGCAATGAGATGTGCATACTGTGTACAGAAGAATGGTAATAGATTATGATCACAGATGAAGGCATATGTAATGCTAGGCTCAGGCTTTGGTAAATCTGACTTGCCAGAAATAAGGAGAGATTTTATCAGAGGTGATAATACAGCTTGGTTGTTTGCTGCATGAACTTGAACTTTCTTTGTGTGTGTTGCTGGTGCAGCATCACACAGGTTTGCCGGGCCTATATATGGTGAGTAGAGCTCTAAAGGCCTGCTCAGTCTTAAGGCTTGGTTATTATGTAGCTGTCTCTGTTGGATGGGCACAGAGCTGACACTTTTGTCCCCCAGCATGGTTACTATGCCCCGACCTCCTTGTCTTTAAGACACCCTGATAAATAGCCCTGCGGAAGTCTTAGGCAAGCCACTGGATCTGTCTGTGTCCCAGTTTCCATCAATAAAGTTGAACTTTAAATTTGCTGAACTTGTCCTTCTGTTTAGGGGAAGGTGGTGGTGATTCCTGCGTGATTTAGGAGCAATCACTTTGCATAGGCTCTAGATATATAAATGTCAGATATGCATTTTATATTTCCATCATGTATGTGCCTCTAGTTGGAGTGATACAGTCTCAAATGGGTGTTTCTAAGTGCTAGTGTTACACAAAATACTGATAATTCAATTCAGTATCAAAATAATGATAATTCAAGACAGTCATATTTAGAGTGCAGTATTGTCTTTGATCTGTTTTGAATTTATTGTCAAAGAGAGGGAATTGTCAAATTTATTATGTTCCTTCCCTGTGCCTGCAGGAGTTTACTTGTCACCCTGTAGTGGTGTGCAGGGCACTCAGACACTATTGAGTGCAAAACCTGGAATTTCTGGTAGTGAAGATGATATTTGTTATGATCCTTCTGGATGTTTTTATCTCAGCAAGCCTCTATTTTTCTACCATTTTTCTTTCATAAAGTTGCACTTGCTCAAGTTGCTGAGGAGCTTTAAAGGATTGCTGCTATTGCAGTATTTGGATGTATTTGGGAAAGGGTAAAAAGGTAGAAGAGGCGTTGAAATGGAACAGGAATGTTTATGAGCTACTGGAAAAGGAGATTGCAGCAAACAAGGAAAGTATCAGAGGGGTCTGGGAGGCTCAAGTGGTGAGAAGGGTCAGAGGAGACAGCACTGGGACATGGAATTAGAAGGATTAATGGAGCTGGAGAGGTTCTGGGTAAAAGGGATTAGGATGAGGGAAAGGACCCTCTCTGTCATATCCTGGGATTGCCTCTTTCTCACTCCTGCAGGAGGAGATCCCAGCCCCAGCCACATTGCAGTCATAAGCCAGGCAGATTGCACCTGCAGCAGGCTGCTCGCCCTGCCTTGCCCCCTGTGCCTGACCCACCTCTGCTCAACACTGAGCAAAGGGGCAGAAGTGACTTCAAATGGGGTCACCTTTTGCCTTAATAAGTATTCTGAACTTGCAGGTGTAAGATCTTAGCCCAGTTACCTGAAAGCAGATGACAAATCTGTCTAAAGCTGTTTCTTACCAATGTCCCTTGGTCAGTGTGCTCCAGGAAAGTCTTCAGGGAGCCTGAAGGTGATGACAGCATATAGGTATGACCTTAAGAAACCCCTACACCCAAAACATTAAAAAGGACAAAATTAAAATCCATATGTAGAGAAGATGTGTATATGAGTTTGAAGTGTATTCAAGGTTAACATTTTGTGACTTCTCAACTGCACATTTTGCAACACTGTCAGTCCCTCTTTACAGTGAATATGTATCACTGTGAATGCAGATGACAAAAGCTGCTGTAGAAATGACAAAGAAAGGCTGAGTTTTCAGTCTTATATTAAAATTAGTTTCCTTTTGTTACTGTTGAATTTCCATCTGGGAACCAGTACATGGGACTGTATGTCCGTAATTTCAACTTCATGTCTGCCTCAACACGCGCTGTTGTGACTCATTTTGGAAGTGTAAAAGCTGCCAAATGGGCTAACTGGGTACATCTGCAATCAGCACTGGGTCAGGCCAAAGAGCAGTCCTTTCTGTGTCCTCTCTCTAAGGGTGGCCAGTAACAGAATTGGAGGAAAGATGAAAGCCACCTAAGACACTTTCTCTCACATGCTTTCATGGAGTTTGCCCAGGGGCTTCCTGAATCACAGATTAATTCTTTAATAATGTGTGTATTGGTCACTACATTTAGTAGTGTATTTTTTAGGAGCCTGTTTATATTTTTTTTTCTTCATAGAGTCCTCTTGCAATGAGTTCTGTGAGCTACTTATTTTCTCTAAGAAGGGAAATTTAAAATTTTCTACCTCATACTTTAGTACCATCTCTCTCTAACATTTATACTGGGCAGAATGGTGAATAGTCTTTCACACTTTGCTATTCCCTGGACATGAATGCTTTTGCAGAATTTGTTCCTTCAGTTTTAGAAGCTGAGGAGATCCAGTGGATCAGTTTAATCTGTTTAGTCTGTTTTTTGGGTGCTGAGGGAGGCAATCTGAAGTGCTTCACCATGGGCACATGGAACTGTCCATTGTTGCACACTTGGACACCTCTCTGTCTGGCAAAGGCAACAGTTGTGGTCTTTAGGTATAGCATGTGTTATTGCCTTTCATCTTCCCAAAATTATTTTTGCTCGTTTTATTATTTTCTTAGTTTGTTAATATTGCTATTTTTGGATTTTTTTCTCTAGCGCTGTTTAACTTGATGAATATTATCAGTATGTTCAAAAAAACAAACTGGAAATAGAAAAATGATTCATTCCAAGTTGTTGCTTTTCATTATTGTAGGAGTACATTTTGGTACACACTGTTTTTGCATTGACTTTGAGATTTTAAATATGTAAAGCATTCTACTTAAACAAATGATATTTTTTCCTGTGCTTTAATTGTTTATGGAAAGTCTGCATATGGATCTTCTCTTTTTTTTTTCCAGTTATGCTGAGCAGCTGTTCTTGAAAAAGTAGGTTTATAAACTGTATTTTCATGTTTGCTTTTACTAATCACTTTAAAGGTAAAATGTTGTAATTTATAACCACATAACAAAGCTTGCCAGCTGGGTGTTTTTTTTATGTCTGGAAATAAACAGACCTTTTAATGAAAACTTGTGGCAAGCTCCAAAGAAGGAAAAGCTCCATCTGAAAGGAGCAGTGCTTCATGATGCTGGGGTTTGGGTTTATATTGGCCCAGATCTTCAGCCGGTGGGCACGGCTGCTGGAGCAGGGGCTGTGTTCTGTGACTGTGCCTGAGAAGTCACGAGCTGGGTTTGTGTGAGCACTTGCATGCTTTGCTGCCTGTAGAAGAAATCCATCTACATCTCTGCCAAGCATGTGGAATGCTTTTGAGGCAAGAAACATTTTTGACCCAACAGGGCCATTATTTCCCCGTTTGTGATATGTGATCAAACCTCAGCCCACTGTTTATCTTGGGAGTTTGAGAGCTCTAGGAGGGTCTGTGCCACATCCAGGTGGGCTCAGTATGGGAAAATGTCATTCCCTAGTGAAAATGAGACTTGTGAGTGTAGAAGAAGAATAAAATTTATTCTGAAAAAAATACAATACATATATATACAATAGAATGATATCCCCTTGATGAAAAGACTGTTGACTTTTCAGATGCAAATGTATGATAGTTTTATATTAGATATTGAGGTGTTAATAATTCAGATGTGCTCTAAACCAAACTCAAGCCTGAAAAGCTTATACATATTTTACAGCTGTTTGATTTCTGTTCCTCTTTTCCAATGGTCACAATGGAGTCCTGAGCCAATACTCAATGGTCATGGGAGTGGTACTGCACATTAAGGACTGAGAATCGGATTTATTTGCCTCCTTTTTTTTCGCCAAAAATGGGAAACCTAAGACTAGGGCAAAAAGTCAATGTACCATTTCAGTCTACCTGCAGATACAAATATTTCATGGCACTAGTGTGATGAGGCATTACCATGTACTTGTACTTTCTCACAGAATCCTGCTTCATTGATAAACTTCTTGTGGTCATCTATGGCTGGGGGTTTTTATAGACTTTTTGATTGCAACAGATGCAATGAAAAATGAGAATTGTTCTTCCATCTCAAATGCCAATTGGATAAAAATTTGACCCATAAACTCACAAATTTTTGATCTGCCTAATTTTTTAACCCTACATAGACCCCTTTAAAACATTTCCAGTGTAAGAACATAATTCATTGCTAATGCTTGCTAAACATTTTAGACAGTATGTGCAGAAATAAGACTGTTATAATATAATATCTGTTCTTCCTTTTGGAGTGGTTATGGGAATCTGTGATATGGAAAACAGTTTTTTGGAAGGGAGAGGCATGGAATGGACTCTACTGTGGCCTCCTGGGTGCTGCTGCTGCAGTTGTATTTTGGGCTGTGCTGTAACAAGTTCACAGGGAGGAAATCTGATCTGGTTCTCAGCTTTGCATTAAGCAGACTAATGTGCACCCGAGCTTACACTGGAAGCTTAACATCTTTGTGAAGTGTTCCAGCTGTCTGACCCCAGTAGAGCAGAGATGCAGAAAATTATGGAACAGAGCTCCTTGATAAGTTACTTGGTTTGAAGCAGAATGCCTGGTGTTAGGCTGTATCAGCTTTAAGATACAGTATTGGGAAAATACTTTAGATCACAAGTTTCAACATAAAGAGGTTACAAATGTGTATATACTTTATTTACCTTAGAAAATTAGTGTTCTCATTAATTTTAGAGAGAGAGGATCTTGCTATAAAAATTTTGTCCTGTGAGGATATACAGAATGATTGATGCTGTGGTATATTACTTGATTCTAATAATGAAACATTTTACGTTGCCTCTATTGTTATGTGAATTCCTCAGTGGAAAAATTGGAAGTGTAATGGGAGCCAGAGCTACTGGCACAGATTATTGATACCATTAAGGAAATGGATGATGCCCAAAGTGGGCAATTGCTCAAAAAACAGATGTTTCTAAATATTTAAAAATTCCTTTGGAAGTTGCTGCAAAGCATATTATGGTGTTGATCGCTGCTGTAAAATGTGCTTTAGCCAGTCCTGTTGACAGATAGCTGCAAAACTTAGACCCAAATTATTTTAGAAAAAACGTAAATATTTTTTGCTGGGGATAATGCTGGAATGTCTGACATGATTTAACACATTTGGTTTTAGAAAACCATTTCAGCCAAATAGATTAATAGTGAGTCATGCAGAGGAGCTTGTACCATCTGTCTAATCACAGTCAGAAACCAGGGGTGCTATCAGCTCTTCTCCAAATCACTGGTCTTCTGCTTAATGTTCCCTTTCCCCACAATAATCTCCAAATTCCTAGAATTCCTAGAAGCTTTGCATTTATCTGTCAGTAGGGCTGCAGAATCCTGCACTACAGTACAGAGTTCCTTGTGGGCTGAACGCTGTGGACCACAGAGTCAGGCAATTGAAGGTAGCAAATTCTGCAAGTTTTTCTAGCAGTGCTCTCTCTTGTGTGTTTCTTGGGAAAGGAGATTTTTGTGCCATCATATTTCTGTCATATCTACACAGATATTTGCCCATTAAATATTAACCCACAGATCAGAAGACCTAATTCTTTAGCTCTGTAGGAGGATATAATTATTGTACCCTATCAAAGTAATTTGCTTCCCTTCACGAGGCAGTTGATGGCTGTCAAGAGTACACTCTGCAAGTATGCAAGGACAGAGAGCATGTGTACAACATAGTGGCATTTGTGACTGCTATTAATAGTTTATGGGAATGGTCTGCAGCAGCTCCTTGCCTTTTTTGAAAAAGATAGAATTGTGTACAGAAAATACAGTTCCAGTTACTCCAAAATTTTTGGAAGCACTCAACTAGGATCATTTCTGGTTGAATACTGAGTACTAAGGAAGGTCTGGCTGTCGAGACAACACAGATTATATATTCTTATTTTCTTGGCTAGGACAGTTTCACAGTTTGCCCACATGTTGAATTATTTATGTGGCTTTTCTAACAGCTGGAAGGTTACAGTATCTTTCAGTGCACCTGCAGGTAGGTATTATGTCAGTAGCAAACTCACTCTGCCTGTTTGAGGCTTGCAAAGAGCAGCTGAGATGTGCATCCTTCCAAAATGCTAAATCTCAAACCTTTAATCATCCAAGCCTTTCTAACAAGTTTCTTTTATTCGTTTTCAGGGATGACAATAAAATAAAGAAACAAGATATCCCAGCAGTTTGTGATCTTCACTGCTGTAAGGATGTCCCTGTAAGAAATGGCCTTATTGGGCAGAAGCCACCCTCTATCAACCCCGAGAGACTGAAGGATTTTGGTGAGGAGGATTACCTGAACGGGGATGTGAAGACCTGGGAAATGAAGATAGTGAGCCGGAATGAGGAGTTACTCAGGGATGCCCTTTCCTGCATCCCCCAGCCAAGCAGTAGGACCAGCCTGGCCAGCTGTAACAGGCTCATTCGGTTTGAAGACATTAGTGCAGCAGCCTTCAAAATCCAGTGTGGTGTTCAGAAAACCCCCTGCATGGTAGGGAATCTTGATGGGTTTGCATTCTCTCAATGTTTCTTTTCATTTTCCTTATGAAAGTCAATCAGAAATGAAGAAAGGGTGTGTGTGAATTGCAGCAGATAGATCTGTGTGAGAAGACTCATGTTCATATTAATTGTACTTGACTGTCAATAATAATTTTCTTCTTATCTGTTTACACTAACCTAAATCCTCAAAGATTGCAGTGGCCTGTAAACAAAGGATAAAGCACATTAGGCATAGACCTAATGCACTGTGGTATTATGCTGCCAGTGAAAAACTCCTGCTAGAAGGGACCTGAGTTGGAGCTGGCAAGACTACGAGTGCTTGGGTAAGCACTCTTGTGGGAGGGTCTGGTTTGGAACCAGCCCTCTTGTTTGGAGGGTTTGAAGGTAGAGATTTGCCTTCTGTCAGGCCAACCAGGAAGGGCTGGATCTGTTCTGTAGCCAGATATTTCTCCCGCAGGTGTCTTCAGCAAAATCAGGATGCACACAAACGTGCACCTGTCGTTGGTGTAGAAATGACTGAGGGACCCCATCAATGTGCAAGGTCTGCTAAAGCAGAAGAGAAGTACAATGGCAAGCTGTGCTGTATTTCTGTGCTTTTTCATAGTGTTTTTCTACCGTTGGGAGCTCTTCAAGCAGGCTACTCTGGGCTCTCTGGGTAATCTCTTTTCCTTTTGGTGGGTGAAAAGAGTGTCCTTGCCAAATGGCAATTCTAGCAGCAATCCCAAATCACACTCTCAGCACATTACTGAAGTGTCTCTTGTGTCAAAGGATGTGGCACAAGACAGTTTGGGGCTGTAAGGTGGCACAAAAGATTTGGCTGGAATGCAGGGAAGTTTTGGCTAGGGTAGAGTTAATTTTCCTCACAGTAGCTGGTATGGGGCTGTAGTTTGGATTTGTAATGAAAATATTGTTGATAAGACAGAGATGCTTTTGTTACTGCTGAGCAGCTCTTACACAGAGCCAAGGTGTTTTCTCTTCCTCACTCCATCCCACCAGGGAGAAGACTGAGGATGTACAAGGAGTTGGGAGGGGACACAGCTGGAGCTGCTGACCCTAGCTGACCAAAGGGACATCTTATACCATATGACACCTTGCTCAGCAATAAAATTAGGGGGAAAGTTGGCTGGGGGCCTGAGGCTCAGGGCCTGGTTTTTGATGAGCAATTGTTTTCAATTGCATAAGCTGTCTCTCTTGGGTCTTATTTATCTTTGTTTTCCTTTTAATTACATTGTTGTTATTTATTTATTTATTTATTCTTACTAAGTGTTCTTATCCCACCTCATGAGATTTCTCACTTTCACCCTTCCACTTCTCATCTTGCCTAGAGCACAGGGGCAGGGAAATGAGAAGGAGTAGGATGATATTTAGTTGCCAATTGAGGTTAAACCATGACACCCCTCAACTTAAATAGCTCCTTGCTCCTGGTTATCCCTGGCAGATTTATGCAACCCAGTTGTATCCCCTTTCTGCATTTACTGTTTCAAGCTAAACAGTCTCACTTTAGTAATTTTTTATTAACTATGCTTTAAAAATTATCAGAATAGTGGAAAACCTATACCCATATAAAAACCTGTATATTTTACTGTGAAAATAACCCGTGACTGTTGTTATTCAAAGTAATGTTCCTGGAGAAGTTATTAGTGCATTTCATGCACTGTTTCAAAAGCACAGAGTGGTGTCAAGAAAAACACAGAAAACCTTTGTTTTAACTCATTGTGTAGAGGTAAGAGTCCCTTTCAGAGATATTTGTTTAGACTAAAACAGTGAGTGTGACTATCATCCATTTAATTATTTGAAGGGAGAAACACTTTGCAGAGGGCAATTCCTAATCTGCAGGTAAAACCATGGAGGGAGCATCCTGGTTCCTTAGGCAGGAGTTTGCCTTGGAGCTGAGATGTGGCATCATGAGTGAATTGTAACGTGTCCAAGAGGTAGTAGGCATAGGAAAATGAAGAACTGACATCAAGCTGGACACCTGGCTTGGCTACTGATGAAGGAGCTGTGAGGGCTGTGTTGTGTTAGCTTGGTGGATGTGCTGTGTGCTGTACCTCACCCATGGTATCTGTGGTCCTTAGATAAGATCACAGTGACTCAAAGGAAATCTTACAGGCTGGTTCAATGAGTCTTAGGAGGTCACACATCAGGTCAGTTCAACTGCAAATAGCACTGATGCCTGCTTTGTTAGAAGTAGTTGCTATATTTAGGCTATATGAAAAAATCCTCAGTTAAAGGGAGACAAAAAGGATAACCTAAAGAATTAAAATACTGACTATCAAAACTAAAGATAAATATCTATCTAAAGTACGCCACCCCTGTGGAAAAGAGACTTAATGACACAGTTTTAAATGTAAGAGGCTTAACAACTTTATTATGCACAGGATTCATCTCCTTAAATCCTTTTTCTGATTGTTCACTCTAGAATCCAAGATTGTCTACAAAAACAAGTTTGGTATATGGAGCACTAGCAGCATTTCTTTTATGATGTTTTTGTTCTATTTTGTATAGGCATTCTCATAGATTAGGATGTTTAGGATATAAACTATTATCCTATTAGTGTGCTAAGCACTTTCCATTGTTTCAGTTTCTGCAGCCAGATTTGCAAAGGAGCAGCAAGTGGTAGCTCCTATGTCAGGATTTTCAGAAGCAAAACAGAGAATCTGGCCCCACCTATGGGTGAGGAATTTAAACATATGCTTGGAAATCCTCTAAAAAGCCTTGAAGTGTTCACCTGAAGCACGTAGTTTAACTGCATACTTGAAAGGAAGTGTCTGATTCAGATATATTTAGTTTATATAAATGCACTTGGAAAGTCCTGCAGTCTGAAAGCCGTGTCAGTGCCTATTAGTGTGTACACTATACATTGTGTGTGTGACACTGCCAGATACTGCTTGAGAGAAATATTTTGTCGTGCTGATTCTGGATCTGTCTCGCTTCATGACTTATCTTAAATGAAGACTTGATCCCCTAAATCACCAGGGCCTCATTTGCTTTGGCAGCCAATAGAAGAGATGGAGCCAATTCTGAAATAGAGCTGCAATAAGCCTGGGGAGCTGGCACCCACAGGCTCACTGCAGCTCTATTTCACAATTTATCTTGTGTAAAACTCTGGGTTTAATGAATATGATAGTAGGAAATTAATATGTTAATACATGCTGGGAGTGTCTTATTATAAAGCTTAACAAATATTTTCCATTAAAATTTTTTTTTAAATCATGCACTAGTGCAGTGCATCTAGTGCAGTGCATCACATGTAATGTGCTTGCTAATTCCCCTCAGCTCAGGCATCATTTCTGTTCCAAACACTAAGCTTTTCCAAACAGCTGCTGCTTACATTTGCAGTCCTGGGAAATTGTTTTTTATTGTTTCCATTTTTCTTTGCGTAAGAAATGTCTTTGCTAATATTCTACTGGCCTTAGGATGCAAATAGACAACACTCAATGGGGAATTAGTGGCAGAAACCATAGCAGAGCCATAATAGGGCTCAAGGAGATAGTTTCTGATGGCCTTTGTATCTATTAGATGATGAGCTTATTTTTTGCGTAGTCAATATCCAGTTCTGGCAAGTGCTGGAAGTGTGGGTTTTTAGGTAATTGAAAATATTTATTTTAGTGCCTGTGTTTGAACAGTAAGATCCAAAGCAAGTGCTATTTTCAGAGTTCTTAATGGCATGTGGTCCATATTTCACTGCTGTGAGTTTGAGAATCACTTTCATAAAGCAGAAGGACCTGGTAAGTAACAATACTCTGTTGTGAATGAAGAACCAGAGGATTAATTTTGCTTTTTAGAGCCCATATATAGCAGTAGAATTAATTTCTCAACATGCAGCTGATGGGGTGTGGAAGTTTTTTCTTAGCAATAGATATATTGACATAATATTATTTATCTACTCCAGTACTCTAGGCTATCCAAGCAGTATGGAATGGACATCTACCTGAAGAAGGAGTTCCTCCAGTACACGGGGTCTGTGAAGGAACGAGGTGTACTTTACCTTCTGATGTCATTGCCTCAGGTACAGCAAAATGTCAGCATTCAAAAAGGAGCAGAGTAGCTCTGCTTCATGAAAATGAAGCAGAGTTGAAGATAAACTTGTCTCTAATCTCCAGGGAATCACAGTGTTTCTTGTCTTTAGAATCATTGTACTGAACGCAGCATGTGAACAGAGATAGGTCTGAATGTAAAATACTACTTTATTACAATTGGCTGATCTACCAGTGAAATTCTTAATGTTTGAAAAAAAAGCTTGCAAAATGGAAACATCAGCATTTTCTTATGGCATTAAGATGCAAGTGTTTTTATGTGTACTGTAGTTCTGATGTGTTGAAACCACCAAACTGATGAGCAATGATGAAATTGAATTACAATAAGTGATGACAAAGATCTAGATCACCAATTGATTTTGTAATGAATTTCAGTTTTCTTACATGAATAGCTTGTTTATCATCGGTCATAGGAGGTTATTGCCATTGTCATAGGAGTCTCTGCAGTAATTGTTACAATAGGCATGAGACAGCAGCCCAGAGCAGTGCTTATTCCTGCCTTTCGTAATAATACGAATGAAATCTTCTATTAAAAGGAAGCAGAAATTAAATAATTTCATACAGGCAGAGCAGAGATGTAAGCTCTGAGGGACCTGCTCTCAGCTCTTCTGTGATCAGTTGGAGTTTTTCAGCTCTTTCCCATGGAACAAGAATTGAACCCAGAGGAGTGCAGGCACAGGGATGGATCTTGTGCTGTTTTAGCTTTGTGTGTCAATCCTGAGATCACACCAGCCATGCATACAGTGTACCATAACATCGCAATTCAATCAGCTAGTAAAGGGAAAAAAGGAAGCCATACCATTAGAATGATCCAGGATCATAGGGGACAGCTATGTGACACTAACGTGCAATTACAACCCTGTTTTCAGGAGCAGCAAAGAAAAGGGGTGATCGTGGCCTCAGACAGCAACTTCTCCATGGCTGTTGCGCACCACGCCTCAGAGCTCCGCGTGCCCGTGTTCGTGATCCTGTGCACCAGCACGGCGCCGGCCCGCGTGAGGATGTGCCGCGACTACGGCGCCATGGTCATCTCCTACGGCACAACGGGCAAGGACGCCCAGCTGCACGCGCGGAGGCTGGCACAGGAGAACGGATACCTCTACCTGGAAGAGTGAGTGACAGCAGGCACGCTAGAGAGAGCTCACTAGATCCTGCACAGCTCTGCAAAAGCAGTTTCATTAAAATTGTCACAGCTCATCCAAACGCTCCTCTTACCTGGAATATGGACAGTTACGTGTTCCCTGGCACAAATCATGTCTTTCTGTAACAGCTGGGGATGGAGACCAAAATGAAACACACTTCTCTGCCCCTCAATTAGGCAAACTCTGATTTCTATGAGCTAATATGATAGAGACTATAGTTTAATTCTTCAGTAACTCTGTCAGAAAGCATTTAGGCTGGTGTTCATTTCTGGTCTCTCTGTTTGAAGTTAGGTGGGTAAAACTTAATCTTTAATGCAAATTGTTCAGGGACAAAATGTGGAGCAAGAAGAGGTTAATGCTCTAAGATTTCCACATCTCTGGCGTGAGGAGCAAAACTGATCCTGTCTTGAAAAACAATGATTGAGAGTGTACTTCACACATACGTTTTAAGTAGCTAAGGATGAGCATAAATCTAAATTTGAACTATTTGAGGTCACTGGACAAGGCAGATCTAACAAAAACATAAATAAGACAGGCAAAAACTCTTAGAACTCCTACCTTTTTCCTCTTTTCTTTTATCTGTAGCCTCTTATGCATGCCCCCTCTGCCCTGCCCCCTTTCTTTTTTAATGTTTCTTCAAGAAAGATTTCCAAAGGCACAGAGGGGTTAATTGTTAACAGTGGTCCCTCTGATACCCTGAACTGGAATTGTCCCCCGGCCATTGCTGCCTCTGTGCAGGCCTCATCCCACTCCTGGTGTTTGCATGGCATCTCCTGCAGGGAGTGCCTGCTCCCTTCCAGCTCCCAGGCACTGCTGCCTCAAACACAGTAATGGTGAGGGATGTTGCCTGGGAGGAAGATCCCAGAATGAGCAGAACAGAGGAAGTCCTCAGTTCTTTCCCAGCTGGTGTGTTGGGAAGGCAGTAATACAAACAACTCCTGTGTTAGCTCTGCCATCAGCCAGTGACACACAGGGCTGCTTCGTGGGCCTGGTCTGCACCCTGGGCACAGTCTGGTCCCAGACTGCGATTTTCAATGGGGAATGAGGTGCCCTGGATCCCAATGAATTTTAAACACTTTTAAGCTCCTTTGAAAACCACAGTTTTCCCTAACTTGGTGATTTCCAAATTTCTGTCAGCCATTTTTCAATTGATGTATTAACCTCCAGCTGGCTTGCATCAACTATCACGTTCACACAAAAGAACTAAATTATTTTATTGTAATTTGATCTTTTATCTTCCCCTCATCCCTAAAAAATTATTTCAGTTACATAAGGTAGATATTCTCCAGGTTCATGAAGCTCCAGGGACAATGCATGTGTAGAACTTCAGCATCCAACACTGAGGAACTCTGAATGTACACGCTACCAGTAAAAATACTAAAGCACTCTGATTTATTTCAGGTTTCAGGTTACAAGAAACAAGTTGTTCAATCTGTGACTGTGTTTAACTAAAACCTCACAGATGCAATTTTTCACTGAAAAAAAAAAAAAAAGGAGAAACCCCCCACTTGAATTGTGAGGCTTTTCATAATGGGATATCTGAAAAATATTTTGTTAGGTGTAGACCTGGAGAGGTTTCCCAGTGTAATGTGTGCCTTTATGGATAGTGTGGGTCTGACACACATTCTTGACGCTCGCCAAAGCTGTAAAATACCAGCTGAGCTCCCAAGAGTGTAACTTGCAAAATGTCATTGTATTCCAGTTTAATTCTAGCTGGGATGCAATCCCAAGCAATTTGGTCTCTGGGTCTCCTCACCCAGGAATTCATTCTGCCCTTCCTGAGGCAGAGGGTTGGGTACGTGACTGGGCTGGGCTGTGCCTGCAGCTGGGTGTGTCACTGTCAGCTCTTCCCATTGCTGGCTGCAATTAAAATTCTGTGTCATGAAAATGACCATGCAAGAATTCAAATAGATGGAGGACACTTTTTACTGGGTTGCAACTTCCTGGGGAATCCCAGGAAGGAAATGTGATTTTTCAAGTTGGAATTCAATCATTTAGTCCGCCTAATTGCTGCCTAGGTGCCCTGAAATTTTTACTAACTACAGGGGCTCAGGACCTCATTATAAATGCAGTGTGACTATTGCCAATAACTAACTCAGTCCCTCTGTGAGGATGTGAGAAACATTCCTTTGTGAATCAGGGAGGAAAGGGTGCTGCAGATTGAATTACACATCTTCCATCCTTGAGAGCCCATTTTCTTCTTGTGTAACTCTATATCTGAATGCTGATCAAACCTGATTATTTCTGATCTGGTTAGTCTGTTACTCTATCCAACAGACTGAGTTCTTTCCTTGGAGCAGACAGGAAAAGAGCCTTCCAGCTGCCACACCAAAACTTCATTGGAAAACTAAAGCCTGACAGCCCATCTTTGACTGCTGATGTATCACACATTTCAGAAGGCAAACATGCAAGTTTCTGGCTCTGGCTCAAAAATGCTTGTTTCAGTCTCCAGTCTTTAGATTTATCTGCCCTCTTCCATCATTTTGCCTCAATAGCATATATTTTTTGCTTTCAAAAAGCAAAAGTTATGAGTCACAATGCAAAGAAATTCACCCGCTTTCTTATAAGAGCTGATGTCTGATCAGTGAACTGATGTTTCAGCTGGATGTTATCAAGGAAAACATGATGATCTGAAATACTGATTCCAATTGCTAACAGCTCTCCATGCTCAGAGCAGTCTCATTTGGACAGTTTTCAGTTGTTAGAGAGTCTTTATTCCTTCAGTGAATATCCCAAGCCTTCATTCACTTTTGCAGGTCCCCTTGTACCCCATGTAACCAGGGCAGGGGTAGCTCCACAAACCTGGATCTGAATCTTATTTGGGTATAAGTCCCCAGAACTATTCAGGAGGCCAATGATATATTTTGTCACATATAAGGAGGAGGAGAGAACTCCATCAGTATCTTGATAAGGACAGTAAACACAAGGATTCAGTTATTCATTCCACTATGATTTCTTGCCTTTGTCTTTGGCTGTGCCACAGGAGGGGCAGTTCATTAATCCAAACCTTTCTTATGTGGTTATATAGACCCTTACCCTGAAGAATTTTCTATGAGGCAGCTTCTCAAGGGCCTTGGTCTCCTCCTTGCAGGAATTCTGTGCTCTTACACTGAGCCTCTTTGTGCCTGTCTAACAGATACACTAATAAAAACAGTTTCCTAGTGCCCAAACATCCTTGGGTCGAGTAAATCAAGTATAACCATTTGATCTGCAATTCTGTTTGCCAGAAAAAGCAGAATGTACAGAGAGCTCATATTTCTTTTCTTACATGTAGTTCTACATTTACATCATTGCTAACTTGTAAATAAAATGCAAACCAGCTTTTAGAAATAGATCCAGGTCAGTCATGACAGTATACTGGAGTTTTCTTCATTTTTTTGATGCTGCTTGTCCCTATTATTTATACTACATTTGCCCAAAAGTATTTTACCAGTAAATATTTTGGCATGACTAAAGGCTTTCCTTAATGGAAAGGTATCAGATATTGGCCGTGGACTGTGGAAAGACAGCTCTAGCAATCTCCTTGATATTTGTGAGGTTGAACACACTGCTTAAATCTCATGAAAATTTCCATTCATCACAAACACTAAATCCACTGATAAGTAAAGACAGGATTCCTTTTTGAGGCTTTGCTCAGAGTTTAGGCTGCAGCATCTAAAATTTATGAAGCTGAAGGAAGTGATGGCAATGGAAATATGACTTCTCCCTGCCAGTTGTGTAAACCCCTGATGATGATGGGAGTTAAGTGCTCTTCATTCTGAAGACTCTTTGAGAGGCTTGTCTATAGCACAGGTTTTCTCCCAGTGGGCAGGAGCAGGCTGTGATCCACCTCATGGCACCATCCTGTTGCATCACCTCCTCCCCTCATGTGCTGCTGATTTACTCACATTTATCTTTTTCTGCTGAGCAATATCTTGAAAGTAGTAGATGGAATTATTATTCCTGCCCTGACCTCAGCTGATGTGTGCCCTTCCTTCCGCAGGGAGGACAGTGCTGTGTACCTGTCAGGCCTGGGGACCGTGGGGCTGGAGATGTACGAGCAGGTGCCAAAGCTGGACGCGGTGATTTTCCCTGCAGGAGGCCACTGTGGCTTGCTGGCAGGGTCAGCTGCTGCACTCAAACACCTCAACCCACATATTTCTGTAATTGTAAGTTGCCTTTCACCTATTGAGCATTGCTGTTTACAAAAGACACTGGTATCTAGTGACACTTGCAGAGACTGCCTATGCTGGGGCAGGAACTCTCTGATCCCATGGGCTTTGCCTCAGAGAAGACCCTGTAAGAACCAGGGAAGTTCCTGTCCCTTGGCTGCTTGGCTGGATTTAAGAGAAAAGTGTGGGAAGACTTTTCCTAAGCAAATAAAATCCAGTTCTGTGTTTTGAAATAAGTTCTTACTGGAAAAATTTGGTCCTAAGTAAGCCACAGAATAAGTTTAGTGGTAGCATGGTTGTTTTGACACTTGAAATTGATTGTTAACTTGAAGAGGAAATTTCTGTAGATTTGTCTGTCTACTTTGGTGGTAACTTCTGTTACAACTGGTTCAATAAAAAAGTGACAACCTCTCTCTTCCTCAGGGAGTTGAGTCTGAAAGTTTCCCAGTATTGCAAGAGTCATTAAAAGCTGGCCACCCAAATGACGACCAGGCCTGCAACAATCATCACTTCTATGGAGGTGAGAAAATGCAGTATTCTTTTGGAGGTAAAATAAAGGTTGTAACAGATTTCTCCAACTGTATAATTTTCTTACTATTTCAATTCAAACATATTTTAAGGAAGTTCTCTGAAGAGTTACAATTTAGTTCAAGCTGTAAGACCAAATTCTGCCACCTTTTCCCCCACACCCTGATGGGGTAAAATATTATTTCTAGTGCACATGAATACTTAGAAATATGAGATTATTTATCTGAACATTGTGCTCACACACAGCATCTAAACCAGTGAAGTCAATGGGAAAGCTCTTGTGGAAAAGGCAGGAAAATGATGCAGTGCTTAAATATTTAGACACAAAACTGCACTCAGAACAAAAGTGCTTATAAGTGGTAGAGTTGTTTCCTTATCACTTGCTCAAAAAACCTCATCTGTTAAGCAATTTAAAACATCCTGTTTGCCTGATGTTCAAATCTCTGGAAGTTTTGGATTAAATGGGAGTTTTGTAAGAAACTTTTAATTTCTCTTGGTTAGCTCTGCCTGTGTCTGCACTCTTAGCCAGCTGTGCTGCTGGAGAGAACAAGCCCAGTGCCATGCTTGAGTCTCCTCTCCTTCAATCCTCCTTGAACAGTGAAAAGCACTGGGCTGCAGGGTCACTCTCACAGTGCAACAATGCCAGTGAAATATCAGAAGTTTCTTGAAGGCGTCCAAAATGGCAAAATCTTCTTGTGAGAGTTGTTCTTTCATTGCCAAACACATTTCTGTCACATGAAAAAATCAAGCAACTTAAGGTCATGTAACAGCAGTGTGCTGCACTCATTAAGGGCACAAATGAGCCAGGACTCTAAAAAATGTTGAATATGTCTAAAGCAGCCAACTTCATATTTTTGTCTTTTGAAATCTGCAGATGTGAGTGGAGTTTGCTTTGGCAGCAATTCTTTGCAGCTGACTGGGAAGCTTGTGGATAAAGTTGTTACTGTGAGGTAGGTGAAAAAAGCAGTGAAATGATTAATTCTGGATGCACGTTGTTGTATGTGAAAAATGCAACATGCCGACTGTGGGAGTGTGGGCATGGGGTACCTTTCCTTCCAAGAGGGGCACTGAAGGCTTTGAACCCAGACCCACAAAACATAGAAATCACAGAGTAGCTCAAATTGAAAGAGATCCATGAAGGACTATCAAATCCAACTCCCAGCTCCTCACAGGACTACCTAAAACTAAGTGATATGACTGAAAGTGTTGTCCAAACTCACCCTTTGGCCAAAATTTCACCTGCCAGCACTACCTGGTCATGCTCTGGATGTAAAACTTGTCCTTGTGTTCTACAACACTTGAATGCAGCCCTTGGCAAACCTCTTCTAAATCTTCACAAGGCCACATTTGTGGGATATACTTGGTACTAGGATTTGGGTAATATTTCTAGTAAAAAGCCACCGTGTCTTTCAGTTAATAATGAGTCTGAGATGTACATTCACCCCCAGCAGCACAGCATTCTGTAACACCACCTTGGCATCACATTTATCTGGGGGATGGAAAGAACCCAGTTACCCATAAATGTGTTATCTTCTGCTTCTAGGAGCTCTTTTGATTTGTTTTGACCCAGGCGTCTCTTTCAGGGAGGAGGACATCCTGATTTCCATGCTGAGGCTGCTGGAGTACGAGCGAGCCACGGTTGATGCAGAAGGGGCCATTGGGCTTGCAGCACTGGTGGCAGGGAAGCTGCCTGAGTTGAAGGGTAAAAGGTACAGCAGCTGCTGCAAACAGGGAACTGTGGCAGAAACATGGGACTGAGCACCCTGGTCCTAGCAAACAGTGACCATGTCCTTGTTCTGTGGGTGACCAGGCAGTTCCTGCCCCTGAACTGGCAAGGGGCTCATTGGTGGCAGAAACTTCAGCCTGAATGGACTGGTCACAGGTGGTAAGATTGTGCTGAACCAGACAGATGCCTGATACATCTTGTCCCTGACACATCTTGTCCCTTTCCTCAATTCAGATACCTGGGGAAAGGCAGTTACAGCTCTACAAGGTGTCGTCGCGCCTGCCAGGACAGTGTCCTGCCCTTGTCAGCCTGTTGTCTCCTCTTGTTCCACTTGTGGAATGCAGCCCTGGCTGTGGTGGGACAGAGCTGGGCTGCCTGCTGCAGTGACCCAGTGGCACCTGCCTCCCATCCTGAGAGCTGTGCACACACCCAGAGGGATTATCCTTGAGCCTGGTGTTCAGCGTGTGGCCCAGTGCTGCCTGGCCTCTCAGCCTGGGCACTCAGCACTTAAGTGGATTGAGCCTTGGCTCAGGTCACAGTCCAGAATGTATTTAGACATACATGCCCTCAAGACAAAATAAGATTTCTAGTGCAGAGGATTGCACACTAAAATACTGCTGAGACAATTCTTCAGAAGAGGCTGGCAGTGCACACAGAGCAGCAACACATTTCAGTACAGCTAAAGTAAAAGGGAAAATGCAAAGAGGCTAGGTTTGACTCTGCAGAGAGATTTTCATAGACTAATCATGTGGCTCTTCACTTGCACTTCAAACATTTCTGCACTCATTTTTCAGGGTTGTGATGAATTTAATCAATGGTTACAGAAAACCTTGAACATACATTTTGTCTGATCAGTAAGAGGCTGAAACTTAGAACTTCCAGGTGAGAATTATGTCAAATTCTTAAAACTTGCAACTTAGACCTACATTTCCCCAGCTAATTATCTCTAACAAAACTCAAATCTCCAGGAAATGTGAAATGAAAACAACATTTCAGACCAACTAATGCAGCCAAATTATAGGCCTCCCCTACCTGCTCACAATGGATACTGAGGCAGGAGCCCTCTAATCTGTAATATTTATTGAGGGGAGGTTCTAGCAGACCTTAGGCTGATATTGGCACAGTCTTTATGATTTACAGTTCCTTTACACAGGCAAGTGCTAATCAAAACTCTTGTTTTTCTGTCTGTTTTCAGAGTGGCAGTTGTTATATGCAGTGGAAACCTGGAATTACATTTGCTGCAGCAGTGCATTGCTCGCGCCCTGACCCTGGATAACAGAGTGTGCAGATTTTCCCTTGTGATTTCTGACTGCCCAGGAGACATGTCAAAGCTACTGGAGCTTTTGGCTCGGGAGGAAGCAAGGTAAATCAGACTAATAGTTGGGAAATATAATCACAGATTAGCACAAAGATTATTAAAGATTGGGAAACGTTTCCAAACATCTGTGAAGCCAAGTCTGTAAGTAATTCATTATTCAAAGGTTTTTTCCTTGTTATATTGCAGAAAAGTTTTTATTTCCTTGATTTTTGTTCCAGTCTGAAAACACTTTTGTGGCATAGAATTGTGTCTAATTCAGAAAGAAGGAAATATCTTTACTCTCCAAACACTTTCAGGAACTGTTTTGCAATGACAGGGGATTGTTGTGATCTCTAATTTGTCCTTTATTTGATCTAGAGTTTTGGATATCAAACAAGAACGCACATTTGTGACATCTGAGCTCTTCACTGTTGAGGTAAGAGGAGATGCAATTTCAGTTTCTCTGACAGTACTGGCCTCCCCTGGTTTATTCTGTTTCCCTGTCTCTTTATGCTTATGTTGAAAAAGTCCAGCAGAGTGTGCAGAGTGTCAGGGATTATTTCCTCTGTGTTCTACAGCTTGTCAAGCACTTAGCAGGCATATAAATAACACAGGACCAGTTTTACTTGCTGTTGCAACATTGTGGTGAGGTACTCCAGGTGTTGCATGGCACTGCTGCTGGTAGGAACCCTCCTGACACGTGTGGCAGGTGCTGGAGGAGGTGAGCAAGCTGCAGCATCCATCCAGAACTTGAAGAGCCAGCTGTGTAGGCTGGCTGTAATTGTCTGACATGGTTGCCTTAAAGCAATGTAGAGAACACCCTTACTCTTAAGGAATTCCCCTTTTAAACTAGGGACTCAGATTTGTTTCTTAGCCACCCAGAGCACAGAGGAAAGCCATTATCCCTTTGTTGAGTATTGGATGCAGAAAGAGTGAAGAGGTGCTACCAGCTAATGGTGTCTTTTAAAAGCACCATTTTTCTCATGATGCATCTCTTATTTCAACTGGTTTGGCAAAGGTGTGGTCCTACTGATTTCATGCTATTGCTGTCCAGGTCCAACCTGACTTAGTTTGTGAAACCCCAGGAGGAAGTCAAATTAGAGATCTTTGCTAATCAGGCTCATAATTGGGGTGCAGAAAAGCTACTGGGTAAGCAATCTTGTTGAATTTTGCCTTTAAATTTAATTTCCCGCCTGGATGCAAAAGCCTGCTCAATATTTTCACTTGCAGATATAAAGAAGAGGCAGATTAAAGATCACTATGGTACATGATATCATCAATACTCTCAAGCATCTAGGACTTAACCCACATTGTTCTGCAGCGTGCCATAATGATAGGCCAGCTTTGGCTGATTTGGAGATAGTGTGACACTCACTGCTCGAGGTGCAGGAGGTGGATAAACCCCTCTGAGTGACCAGCTTAGCTCTGGAAATGCTTTTCACTGAAGGTTAGATGCAATAAAGCCTGTAACTCTTCTAAAGTTTTCAATGCCATTTTTATGGAGTGAGGCTTGTAGTTTTTACTAATGCTATTAAGCAAATCAAATGAAATCTACTGTCTTAGGTGTTTCTTTTTTTTGTTTGTTTTGTTTAAGTTTGGTGTTTTAGTTTTTAGTAAATACAGGCCCTGAATGAAAACAGTGCTATATAGTATTCTCTGCACTTTAAACAGTGTGATTTCACTTCAAGAATCTGACAGTGTTGTACAAAAAGGTTGAAGGGAGGAATTTGCATCCCTGAATAATTTAATTGGATATTGGATTTGCATTATGGCTTTCAACCAGTCTGGGAGAGGCTATTGCATTATTAGATGTGAAGTACAAAGTAGTGACCCAGACATACAGACCTCTGCAGGCATCTCTATCTGCTGATATCTAGAGAACTGTGAAGCTTTCTTTGAAAATCAAAACATGTGTAGTCAAAAAGGGTTTATATGTAAGCATCAAAATGAATTTGCTCTATCCAGGTACAAGGAAAAAATACCTATTTTCAGAGTAAAGCAAAGATCTGTGAAGGATATTTTGGTTTTTTCTTTGTTGTTTCTAAGAGCCAAAGATCTGTGTCATCAAAACATTTTAAGCATTTGTAGTATAAATTACAGCACATAAAATAAGGTATGAATTTAGACCTGGATCAAGAACCAAAATTACCACCTTGTGCTGTACTGGCAGTAATAACAAGAAAGGCATTGCAGCTATACCCATTTCATTCTGACTTTAATGTGTACTTTTGACTGTGGATGTAGATTAGGTGTTTGACAGAACAGAGCAGAGAGCACAGATGCTGATTTGAAACACTAAATCTGTCCTGTCAAGATTATTGCCTCAGTATTTAATCATCCTTTTAGATGTACTCTTTTATTTCTAACAGAGAGAAACTTGGCTTCTAGTCACTTATCAGGCTGACAGAGCTGCTTTGGTTGGGTTTTTTTCATTCTAGTGAAATGCTTTTCTGGGTTAGTGTTTGTTCATCTAGTGCACACTTGGAACACTCTGTGAGAAGATCCTTGTTGATAGTCTGGTTTCATGAAAAAGGAAGGACTTTCTAAAATGAAATTTTGTGTTCAATCTTCACTTCTGGAAAAAAAAAAAAAACCTTTTTTGGCACAAATAAGATTTTTTTTCTTTACTAAAAAATAAGGAAGGAATGTGTCTATATTAGAGTAAGAAGTGCCTTGTGCAGAGGGATCAGCTGCTTATGTTTCATGGAATATTATGGGAGTTTCTTTAGGATTCTGCCTGCTCATACCTCCAGTTTAGATTCTCTTCCCTTGTGACTCGTTCTGGATTTCTTTCTTGGAGAGGAATACACCCTTATTCAGTCTTACCTGACTGGTTAGGAAACTACTTCCAAAGTCTCTGCATTGAAATAGATAACTCTTAGCAAATCAGACAAATAACCAGTCTGGTAAGCTTCACATTTATGCCTGTTGAAGGAGATTAGATGACAGGGAATATCTAGGCAGAAAAAAGATCTGAGCTAATAAAATAATCATCTGATATCTGATGTTAAGTGGATACAGATATCTAAAGGACTACCCAAATCATGGGAGGAAGCTACAACTTGCTTCTGTGAACTTTCTCTGTTCTCCATCAGTAATATTCCTCAGATTCAATTGGGACAATTTATAATTTAAATTCCTTCCATATGTAAACCTCTTTAAAACCATTTAAGTCCCTTTAATTTCATAATACTATTGGCTCATAGAGAAGTCACTGAACAAAAATCAATAAGCAACTTAATAACGTAAGGACATTCTTTGCTATAAAGTAGTTCAGCAGCTTGCCTGCTTAATAAGTGTATAATTTTTGGACTCGGGCAACCTAGTTGAAAAAAAAATTTCCTTGAGCTCATCAATTTTCTAGAAAAGTCTTCTGACCACTGAAACTCCAGCATAGTCAAACTGGCAGGTCCAGGAGGGTTCTGTAAGGTTGTGAATTGCCCCAGCAGCTTTTCAGTGGGTGTCAGTGCTCCCTCTGAGCTCACTCCTGTCTGGCATTATGGGCTGTCTGGTCTGTTCACTTCAGGCCTCTTGGGAGCTTCACTGTGCTGTGGTTTTGGGGAACTTGGAAGAGACTGCCTGTGAAAAGAACATCCACCACACTACTTCTCTGTCTGTGCATGAGAATGCTGAATCATAAATCAAATATCTCCTTTTCTTTTCAGTAACATTGCACATTCTCCCAGTGGTGCTGAAATTCCTGGCTTTGGGTGGCATAGTGCCTGTTTTTCTCATGCAGTTCATTCACCTCAGGCCAGAAATCAATAAATTATTTTAGTCTGCTCTGGTCAATTTGAATAAATTAATTTGAGCCAACTTGCACTCTGTAAAGGATGGAAGGGAATATTTTGGATTAGACTCCCCAGTTGCCAACATATTGCCTGTCATTGTCCTGTGAAGCAGATACACAGGAGCAGGCAGCTGTGCAGCTCACATGTGCAGAAGGATGCAGAAAGGTGCTATCATTCCCAAAACATGACCCTGGGCAAGGCTCTGTTTCCATGTTCCATCCCCAGCTGCAGAGTGGAGACACTGGGAGTGGGAAGCTCAACACTCCATTTCTTCTGAGGCTCCCCAGAAGAATTTGGTGCTGTTCTTTAAGGCATTCCCCAGCAGACTGTGGCACAGGGCAGCCTGTGAGAAGGAGAGGCTGCCCTGGGAGGGTCTGAGTGTTCCTGTGGGTTATTACCTGCCTTACGTAAGGGCTGCAGCTTGTTCCTGCTCGTGATCACCCACCTGAGTGCCCCAAGTGCCAAAAGATAAGGGCTCAGCTTGCACAACCAGCAGTCAGCTGCTGCTCTCTTTCTCAAGCATTCCACTGCTCTGACCCCGGGGACAATCTGGCAGCTGATCCCCAAACCATCAGCTGAGCTGCTGTTACCAAATAATCTGTAATGTGACGTAATCTACACTGGGTGTTTACCAAATAATTCAGAAAATTGCCCAGTTGTTGATTATTTTAAAAGAAACCCCTTTTTCTAAATACAGAACAGAAACCAGTATATATAAATCAAGTTTTCATTCTTAACTTGAACTTTCATGCAAGCAAACCTCTAATGTTGCTAAATGTGGTGTATCATAAATACTGAGTTATGCAAAAAGACTTAGATGCCTGAATACTAAGACTTAGATCATGAATACTAAGTTATTCATACTTAAGATTAATAATATGATTTCTAGAATTAAAGAAGCAGAATAGGAAGGTTCAATGGATGATTCAAAGACATAAAGGACTGCACTGGTTATTTAGGTTTAGCTTGAACCATCTTATTTAGGTTATTTAGGATTAGCTTTACATGGAGCCTGGAAAAGCACAAAAGACTGAAATCTCTTGATTCAGCAGCACAGCTCACATTTCCTCTGCTCTCTAACATTGGCTTAGCATGTCCACCCACTGTTTTTATTTGCACGCACAGCCTACAGATAGTAGACATAAGGGAGCTGACAGATATGCCAAATTAATTTTTAAAATCTAGGAAAATATGAACTAAAAGGTGAAGTGTCCCCACTGAGATCTTGCAGTTAAAAGGGAGTAGAGGTCTCCACCCTATTCAGCACAGACCTTTGCATATTTCTTCCTTTTGTGAAGTTATGAAATTTCCTGTCTTTGAAGTCAGTGTAATTCCAAAGAGTATTTGGATTTATGCATCTGGATTTTGGTGTTGCATGGCAATAACTTCTTATAATTTTTTTCCTTTAATTCTTTTTTAGCTTTTGTCCTGCTTCTTCAATAATTTCCAGTCATAAAATAAACCCCACGAGCCATCAGTATTCAATGAAATCTCTTCTGTCTTTAATTTAACTTGTAGGCCTGCTCTGAAAAAAACTTACGGGCTGACTAAACCCCTTGGCTGAAATATAGATTACCTGTCACAGGGAATGGAACCTAAATGCAGTAAAAGGTTCTATCTGTCTGGTTATTTTAATGGTCTTACTGGACCAGACAATTATTTTATTAATTAATTAATTAATCCAGCAAAGATATGATATGTAGGAGAGAAATTTGTAAAATGCACTCTGTTGGTGGTTTTGTGGGGTTTTTGATACAGAGAAAAGCAAGGTGTGCTGTGCACAGCTGGCCCTGCAGCCAATTAGTACTCTGCAGGTTCCAAAATCCCATGTATAGTTCTGAGGGCTTATCAGTATGAAATAAGTTTAAGGTAAATTTTTCTCTAGTTGTCATAAGTTACCTTGTCTGGTGTACAAGAAAGATCAGGCAATAGGATTTGTAATTTATTCTTAAATAAGACCATTTTGGGGCACTTACTCTTAGGTCATTGATAGCTATGCAACCTCCTATGGGCATTGGGGTGCTTCTGCTTCCCACACAAAATATAACCCCATAAACTCCCTGTGAATGTGAGGGTTGCTCTGTTGGACACTTGTGTAAATTATGTGTCCCAGGCAAAGCAAGCAAGAGAGAAAGTTTGTGAAAGTAAAACTGCAGTATAAATTGGCTTAATCTAAGCAAGAAACTAAATTCTTGCCTTTGCTGCTGAGATCTGGAGCTGCCTTGAGGTGTTGTGTGATTCTCTCTTCACTCCTGCTGGGACCAAATGTTCTCTATTCCTTTCTTTGACAACTGTGAAAAATCAGGTGAATTTCTGGGTTTTTTTTTTTATCACTGCTGTTGCTGTTAGTAGTACTTTTATGACACACTGCAGCTCAGTATCTCCCTTATCAGCTGCTGCTTGTGGTGCATGCTTAGAACAGAATGACAGTGTTTATCCAGCGTGCTCACAAGCTCTCTGGCTCCAGTCTACTGAGGTCTGCCTGGTTTCCATCATGAGCAGAAAGGAAAGGGCAGAGAGGATAATTAGCCATAAATCAAAATGCTTCCCCATGCTTGGTCCCAGGGCAGACCACAGCTTGCTACCAGACATTCAAGGCTGAATCTCTTACATGCAGACTGGTTCCAGGAGCAGCAATTGATTTGCTCAGGACAAAACAGGCATGATTGCTCTGGAAGAGGAAGAAGCTTACTTTTTTAATTACGGACTCCATGTGAGATGTGTCTGTCCCCTTGAAGATATGATTGCAAAGCTTTGGAGATTTTACATGAAGCAGGGGATGGATAATGGGCGTTGGGTACATTGGTGTTCTCAGATACTTTTCCCAATTATTGTGTTCTCTCCCCTTTCCTCATTATTTCTTGTCCTCTATGACTGTCCTTCTCTTGACATTAAACCCCACTTTTTTAAAGAAGAAAAAATTAGCATCTAATTTGCATTCCAAAGAGCCAAACAAATAGAACTATGTGCAGCACAAGAGGTGAAGAATTACAAGACCAGATCAGAATTGTGGCTTATTTCATGGTGGGTATTTGAGAAACTGTAGCCAGTTTTCTAATTAAGTGAGCTATGGCTATTTAGATTAACTTGGAGTGTTAGTGTTTTATATTTTCATTCAGCAGTTTTGCTAAAGATTTATTATTATTTTAAGACAGCTCTAGAAAACATGAATTTGAAGTTCTTATTTAGAAATGTCCTTGTAAACAAATTAGATATTTTTTGTTTTCTAAAAGGGATGCAGCTCTGATAGGAACATTTTGAAGGGCATGTTTGGAGCAGCCCACCACCAGGTTTTCATGGCTCCTTGTTTCTCTGCTCTCTGTAGATTTGCTGCTACACTGAGCTCTCTGTAGCTGCACTGTGACTCATCTTGGGTCCTTTCCTTGCTAGATTTCCACGTTTCTGTTTTCCCATGTGGCACTTTCAACACCAGTGGCTATTGCAGCAGGACTATCAGTAATGGAAGTTAGGAGCCTCAAATTGTGAAGTATAATTTTCCTTCTGTGCCTTTACTTTGGTGCCTCATCTTTGCTAGTGCCCAGGCTTTCAAGTGATGGGGGCAGAGATGTGAGTATGCAACAAAGAGAGATAACTGAAAAATTTTTAAAATGTCATTCAAGTTATTATCTTTAGTGTCTACATGACAGATTTCAATAGTACCTTTGAAGGAAAGTGAAGAATTAAAAAAAAACCCATCAAGATTAATTTTGCCCAAGTTGTTTTATTTAGCAGTAGAACAACCAGAAAAGAAAACTAGAAGTGATGCAATAAGCAAACAAAAAACAGAATGAAGCAAGAAGGTGTGTGAGAAGTGAAACCAGCCAAAATATTGCAGAGATGATAGAGAACTGGGGGATAACTCCATGACAGACAAGAGAAGAACACAAAATGCTTGAAGGATGGAAGTACTGGAACAAACACTTGCCAGAAATACAGAAATGTGATGAGGTAAGAGTCAGAGGTGCGTGAGGTGGCAGCAATGCCACGCACAGGGAAAGGAAAAGAGAAGCTGCTAACAGATGTCTTCAGGGAGGCCAGAAGCAGAGAGGCACCTTGCCCAAGAGCCAGCAGAGGATCAGTTGTATTCTTTAAACTTTGAAGGCAATAAAGTAGGGTTTTGGAAGGTTTTATGGTCATGCAGATGGGCTGGAAGAGCCCCAGATATCTGCAATCTCAGTTCTCTTACCTGCACAGAGAGCGGATGTGAGGGCCAGAGTTTCTATTTTGAACTGGTTGTTTTTATGAGTGCATTTTACGTTTAAGTTGGAAATGTCTTTGTCTGAGATTGCTGCCATGCCATCAGGAATGGTCCTAATTCTTTTTCCAGGTGATCTGCACTGTGGAGACCAGAGACAAGATCCACACAGCCCAGCTGAGGAATGCACTCCTGGAACGCTACCCCACAGCTGCCTGGACGGAGCGGTGACGGGCACAGCGCGGCTGGGGCACCAGGGCCTCTGCCAAGGACTCTGCAGAGCCCCAGCCTGGAGGCTGTCACAACAAATATCATCTTTCAGAGCTGAACAGTTAGCAAATAGCATCAGGATATTGATTTCCTGCTCAAAATGTAGTAAATGTCTTTGGGGAAAAAAAGTTCAACTCAAAACTTTAGTTTAGCTAAGGGAAGCTCTTAGTCTCTGCTGGTGTTGGAATTCCTCATTTCATTATCAGCTGGCTGCCTGGATTTTAGCTAGTTTGTAGAACCCAATGATATTCCATAAACAAGGAGAAGGCATTTCTCTTTACATCTGGATACAGACCTCTCAAAGGTCTTCTGATTTTGATGCCCATTGTTGAAGTAATGCAGCTCCTTCCGCTGGACTTAGCCACATTACAAGTGCAGAAATTTTCTGTTTCCAAGCCAGAAGCAGTTTTCTGTTTGCTAAATCTGCTTCAGGAGGTGTGTGGGATTGAACATGAATATGCGCTGATCCTTGCTACCATGTGAGGAAAAATTCTGCTAATAGAAGGTAATTTAAACATAGACAGAAAAACCCTTGGAAGATAAAAGCCAATATAATATTAATATTTTTCCCAAGGGAAAATGATGCTATTTGCAAAATAAAATTCCAAAATATTTTGCAGAAATTGAAAAAAAGTATAGAGATGATTAGAGCTCATAAACAGAACACAAATATATTTCTTCCCTCTGCTTTTGGAGACTCAGCATAAAAAGGGGTCTCGCTACCAATGTGAATTTTGTAAATACCATTCCACTGATTATCTTAGTCTGTCTAAAACAGGCTCTATCCATCTCACCTGACAGATTGAGTGCACTGTTAATAGTGACATATATTTAAAGACCACATGTTAATAGCCAAAGGCAGTACTGGGAGAAGAGGAAGCCCAAGTCTTAGGCACATGGCTAATGCAATTAACAAAGAACACATTGACCTAAATACCATTTTTATCACTACAGGCAGAGACCAACTAATAATATAACAGAGTGGGATGGCAAGAAATGTAAGAGAAGTTCAGGCCCTCTTCTGAATGTGCACACAACACAGTTGTGCCTTTCATTTGGGCAGAATTTAACTTCAGCTCTGGAAGACTTTACAGCTCCTTCCAGTACCTAAAGAGGGCCCCCAAGAAAGCTGCATGGGACAAGGGGCAAAGGCTTTTAAGAGGGCAGATTTATATTAGGAATTAAGAAGAAATGCTATACTGCGAGAGTGGTGAGGCTCTGGCACAGGTTGCCCAGAAAAGTTATGGCTGCCCCATCCCTGGAATGATTCAAGGCCATGTTGGTTGGGGCTTTGAGCAATCTGTCTAGTGAACAGAACTCCACAACAGGGAGGCTGGAACTAAATGGTCTTTGAGGTCCCTTCCAACCCAAACCATTCTGTGGTTCCGTGATCCATCTCCCCCTGTAGCTTATGCAGGCAAGAAGGGATGAGAAGGGCAGCATTGTGGCTGTCTCTGCAGTAGAATTTTTCTGAGAAATAATCTGTTTTCTACTTCTTGTTGTAGTTCACAGAGGAGTAGGAGTACAGAGTCTGACAAATGGTGGACAAAAAAATAGAAGTTTACAGGTTTGGTCTGGTTTTGGAAGGACTGTATTGGTTTGCACATGGAACTAAAAATTATTGATGCCCCAGTGGTTTGTTTTGTTCCCTTCTTGCCATCCAGAATGATGGGTATAGGCCTTGGTTCTATAAATCACAGCTGTGTCTTATCAGACACAACTCTCTCCACTGTCAGGAGAGTTTAAAAATCTGTATGGAAATAGATGACAGAGTCCATATTACATACTTGCTGCTTCCATCAGAATGAGAAATGAACCACATCATCAAAGAGCAGATTTGGGGGTGAAAACCCACTATTGTTGAGGTAAAGTACCCTCTCATGTTTTCTGAAAAAAATTCTTAGGAAATTTTGAGGATGTCTCAGGTACCTACATGAGAAGAAAATGGAATTTTATAACCAAAGTTCTCAGTAGTGGCCTACAGGTTCTGCTGTCTGGGTATTTGGTTTAACATTTTGGATTATGCTGGACTTTGTTGTTTTAGAAGCTCAGAGCATTAACAACTTTTCCTAACCAGTGGGAACTGCAGTTAGCAAGTCTTCACAAACCTGGGGCAAGAAGATGTAGCAAATAGAGCAACCAAAAATCAATGCACTTGAAATCACTATAAAATTTTGGAAATATGTTTGGGGTGGGGGGAAGGAAGGTGATGTCCAGAAGGTTCTTAAAATGTCGAACATTATATTTGCTGTTTGGTTTTATTTTTATTGTTTTAAGTATAAACATAGTTTAAAGTGTAAATCACTCTTCAGTAATAAACACTTTATATGTGAATATAATAATACCAGAGGTATTTTACATTCTATATTGCCTTCATTGAAGTCTCATTGGCTTAAAAGACAAAATTAAGATCTTCCAAGGGGGGGAGAAAAAAAAACTCAAAATGAGACATTTAAATGAATGTATGCTTGGAAAGAATAATTAAATACCTGTGCTGCTAACCTTTTCCTTTTTTAATTATGAAATATAATAAGATCTATGGCATTTCAAATATTTAATAATGTGGTTTTGAATGTATTATTTAAAGAATTATTTTTATATAGAGTGTTCTTATGTACCTTGGAAAATAACTTTAATGATTATTTAAAATTTCACTAATGCTTAAATGAGCAAAATATAAATCTAAGCATTGTATTTATTTGAAAAACAATTAAAATTCTGCTACGCCACCTCAGCAATGAAAGACTTGTCATTCTCTCGTGTGACAGTGATAGCAGCCTCACTTTAAAAAATCAGAGTTAATATTTTTCTTTTATCTGTCATAGACATTGGCTCAAAACCCACATCATTCATGCGAGGGGGGAGCTCTGAGCTGGCAGGGAGGAGAGAGCAGCTGGGCAGGATGGCTGCTCTGGCCCTGGGTGGGAGTCAGCATGGACTGCCCTCATTCCAGCATGGACCCTGCTCATTCCAGCCCAAACCCAGCCCAGTGGCACAGATGGAGGAGCTGCTCCCTGCCCTGGCTGTGCTCCTGGGCAGTGGGCAGGGTGTGGGTGCAGTGTGTCCTGGGCTGGGCTCAGGTGGGTCACTGAAGTCCATGGGACCAGCTCAGTCAGCTCTCTGCGATTCTCACTGCAGTCACCACCCACTTTGGGGAACCTGCCCTTCACTTCCAGGGTGCCACTGGCCAAAATGCACAGTCCTGTCTCCAGAGGCACGAGATGCCCTGCCCCAGGTGTGTCACTGGAGCTGAGCCCCTTTGGGAGCTGTCCTAGGCACACGCTGCTTGTCAGGGGCACAGCACAACTGCTTCCCAGGACTGCTGCAAACAAGGTGCATCTTAAATTGAAACAAAATCTCTTCCCACACTAATTCCTTAATTTTTTCAGCCAGGTCCTATTAGCTGGGGATTAACATTTAAATCTCTGCTAGTACATGTTTTTGCAGCACCAGGAGCAGTTTATCTTCCCATGCAGGTGGCATGTCCTCACAGGCAGCACCTTGCCTTCTGGCCTGCAGCTTTTGGGAGATTCACAAACTCCCCATCCTACAACGCAGTAAGTGCATTTGACATGTTATTGTTTAACTTTTGCTAGACCCAAACACAGGCACGTGGTTTATTGAATGGAAAAGTAAACTGCAACACTCTGGGGCTGGGCTGTAATTCCTCCCAGTCATTTATTGGATGGCTTTGGTTCTCCTGTCACTTTCTCTGCAGTTTGTTTAACTGCAAGCATTCTGTCATGTATAGGGTGTTAAAGTTTTTAGAGTTTTCTTCTATTACAAATCTTTGCTTTCATGTGCTCCCAAACTTTTGCTCCATCTCAGAGGAGGAGGAATCCTTCAGCACATTGTGCCTTCCTGAGCTGATGAATTTCTCATTGTTCAAAAGCACTTATTTATTTTTTTAAAGCTGCAGCAAAAACTGGTGCCAGTATTTGGAAAATATTCCAATCAAATATGAATGTTGTCAAGTATGTCAATAATAATCAACATCCCATACAGCCTGTCAGTCTAAAGAAACCAAGAGTCCTTAAGGACAGAGCCAGGTCAGTCACACCTGAGTGCACCCACACAAAGGATACAGGGAGCTTGTCCTGTGCTGCTGATGTCTGACTGCTTCTCTAAATGCAGGCACTCTGATTTACTTCTGGTTTCCTTGCCTGGTGTGGGGGATGCAGGGGCAGATTGCAACTGTGAAAAGCCCTATCCTTCACGCTTCTGAAATTTTGGTAAGGACATGGTTTTCCTTTTGATAAGAGACCTAGAGTGTCTTTAGAAAGACTTTTTAAACTGTGTAATTGCTAAATTTAGTAAACTGGTCACCCTGTGTATTCCCACAAGGGGCACCCGAGTGGTTTTCCTTTGTGAAAAATGGTCTCAAAGAATGCTGATAAATGATATAATAATGTTCCTTACACCTCTCTTTCCTCCTCTCCCCTCCTCCTTCCCCTCATGCATGTGCTGTAGGTTTGGAGTTGCAGGGCCTGTGTAAGGTCTGGCACAGTACGTGGATTGTGCCATATTATTACTGCTCTTCTGAAAAGCAGGAGGAAAGGAAATACTGAGGCATTTTGTTTCTTTTGCTTTCAATAAGCTATGGTCATTTCTTGAGCTGTTCATGTAGCTCTTGCACAAAGAGACTGCACCAGAATGCCTCCAGACATCAGACTGTGGGACCTGCCTGTAGGGCTCCAATTCCCTGCAGACTCCATGGCAGTGACCAAGGGGGCCATTCCCCCAGCTGCACCAGGCTCTGCTGCTCTGCAGGGGACCCAGCCCCAGAGCAAATTGAATGTCCCTAATTAACCTGCACTTGGTATTTCCAAAGTCTGCCTCAGTCAGCTCCTGTTGTGTTTAGAATATGCTAGGTCAGCATGAAAAAGGGTCAAAGCAAGACAACATATTGAGATTCTGAGAAGAGTTTTTCATCACTCCCTTACAAAAATGAGCTACAGCCCTGAAAGCTTTAGAAATAGTTCTTGAAAATGGGTGGGAGACCTCTCACTGCTTCTGTCCAGGCTCTGCAGTGTTTCTGAGCTGATGCTGCATGTCCTGATCTACACAGCCAGATCTCCTCAACAGAGCTTGATTTGAGCAATGATTTGCCAAACATGCTGATCTGGATAACCTGACTTTAAGCAGTAAATGACACTTGTTTCCATATATTATGATTGAAGGGTGAAATGGATCTGGGTGGTTTATTTGTTGTCTTATGCAACAAAGCTGCCAAGCAATCACAGCATAAAAGTGCTCTTTTAAGCGAGGGGTTCTGACTTGTATGAAATTATTCCTTTTGATCACCAATGCAGGCCAAATAAATACAGAATGGGGGTGGTTTTTAATATGTCTAGTAAAAACAGGCATGGTTGCTTTTTAAATTTTCTTGGCATGTACTTTATGTTGTTAATATAATGCATACCCAGTCTTGCACTTAGCTTTCATAGCACGGGTTGTTTTTTTCTTCTTTCCAATTTGAAATGGATGTCTAAAGTGTTTATTTTTCTGTCCTGCGACCAACAAAATTGGCACAAATATCCATTCTGAAAAACCTTTATTAATTTTAGTTTTCCTGGTGATTTACCTTCTTATTTAGTGGTCTTTTCCAACAGTAAAAGCTCTTCTGTATGTTTCATTGGGGTTTCCTTTCAATGGGAAACAATATTCTGAAATATTTTATTACAGTGAATTTGCAAGTATTTTCCTTTGGCAAGCAGTGTGGGTTGGGTGCTGATGAAGGTGATTTGACACCCTTTGGAAACAGAAGGTGCACTTGTGTTGTTCTGCCCTTCTGTTGTGGAAAGGACATTTTGATTGCAGTGGAGTTGCTCTAAGTGATCAGGAGTAATCCTTTATTACTAGGACTAGCCTGGAGAAATGCTTATGCCTGGTATAACCAGCAGCATTTCCAGAGAGCCTGACAGAGCCAGGAATGTGTCTTTGTGAGCTGAGTGAGGTGCCTACATGAGTGAGCATGTATTCATGCTCCTACTGGGTTTTAAAAATAATTTTGTCACATATTAAGGGTATGTTTATCTCACTGTGCTGTTAAGGGCACTATAAACACTTACTCAGAAATGATATCTCAGTATTATTTTCAGTCTTGTCATGCTGGGGGTTTGTTCCTTTTCCTTAAGGCCAGTCAGCATTACCTGTCCCAGGTTCCTCAGGTTTGCAGTTGGGATTGCATTGTGAAGCCTCCAAAACTGCAGCAAACAGGCATCTGTGTTTACAGCTCTGATAGAGGCTGACAGCAAATACTGGTTGGTTTCTGTTTGGGCTTTTGTTTTGGAGGGTATTTTGTGGTTTTTTCAGCCAAATGTTAAAACTGAACTGCTGTGAAGCAAAGGCTGGGGAGAGAAAATCTCTGAATGTGGGTGAATACCTGGGAGTTGCATTTCTAGATGCCTTGGAAAGCAATGCCCAGCAACCTCCACAGAGAAAGCTGCTGAAAATTGTCATGCCAAACAAAAATCCCAGAGAGGCTTCAAAAAATTAAGCTGATGCCAGTGCCTAGCTAAAACTGGTTCTAACTTGGTAATTTTTTTCAACTAAGGCAGTAGATATTTTTTTCTACTGTAGCTTCCTTGGGCTGCACTGAGGAAGCTTTGCCACTGCCTGTCTAATTAGGGGGAGTCTGACAGGATGTGGATAACTTCTCAGAGCTGTGATTTGCCTGTAGCCACTCCAAAGCCCAGTGGAAAGGGCTGGGACTGAGCCTGAGCAGTGCCTGGAGTGCAGCCTGGCCTGGGAGGGGAAGGCAGTGTAGCATCAGTGATGGGAATTACTCTGGAAAGCTGATCCCGCATGTTCCAAGTGTGAACACTGATATTGGTGTCAGGAAGGTGTCTATGTATTTTGTATGAGCATTTTATTTCTAGGCTGCATTAAAAACAACTTCTTCACTTTTTTAAAATCTTTATTCCAGGGTCACAGACTAAGACAAAAGGTTACACAGTAAAACGTAGATCAGGCTCTTGACATTGCTGTTGGATTTCTAGTCACTAAATGAGTTTTTACTTCTCTATAAAATATTTAAGGTAAACAGTTTGCTATTAGACAACAACAACACCACCCAAAAGACAAACAAACCACCATTTCAAACCCTTCAGTTCTCCATGCTTTTAGTACCCACCGAAAGCAAAAACTTTATGTATCTGTGCTTGAATAAGGCTTCCAGTACAGAAGTGTTACAGCCTGTAGGTACTGCACAAAGTTACTTGTTACCACCTTGTGGAGCTCTTAGAGGTTAAAGAACAACCTTTTCTTACCCCTTCTTCCACAACAGTATCATGGCAAGTGTCATGGTAAAACTTCTCCCCACACCAGAGTTAGTACTTTAAATAGTTATTCCTTTTAAAAGTGCTAAAACTACACAGGGTAAATTCTTGTTCAAATATTCAAAAATAAGAGACAATCTGATGGAAGACTCACTACACATACAGGAAATACTCTTGAGATGTGCTTATGATGGTCTCTCAACCTTAGGTTTTAAAGACCAGCATCTGGGAACCAGTGGTGTATGTTTATTCACTGCATCTAATTTCATTGCCAAATATCAGCTTTTCAGCTAGATTTTTGATTGATTTTTTTTTCCTTTAGGTAATAAATCACTTCTCAAAAAAGCTGCCCTCAAAGCTACTTTATACGATAATAACTCATAACTTACAATCTTCACTACAAAGATGAGGTCATGCTGCATGAATTTTAAGGCACTTGTATTAAACCAAGTTAAAGTGCTTCATGTATGCAAGCTCACTGTCCCTCATCCTGAGCTGAGACCTGGTCTTTTCAATGTGCCTGCAGCAGTACAGTGGTCTGTCCTCTGTGGAACAAAGTAAGCAGACAAAACAAAGTGCAAAGAGCAGGCTTTAACAATAGTGTCAGTCCCACAGAGAAAATATAGCTAAATTTAAATCCTATTACAAAACAGGTGCAAGCTGCCTTGTGGCTGTCAATAACCCTCCCTGTTGTAGAACAATGAAAAAGTGATTTATCAACCACTGCTACCAGCTGTCAGTGACAGAGTACACATGTCAAAATCTGCAGAGGAGAAACTTCTGGCTTCTTGCATAACAAATAGGATTAAAATTTGGCAGTGCTAAGACTGAAGAGTTGATTTTCTACTGAACTATCCACAGGGCCCTGTGAATTTTAATGGTGTTGCTTAGTAAGAGGAGAGCTGCTTGGGTAGAAGGGCACTGCATCATACAGCAGGAATGTAATTTAGCTAATTATAGCACCTAGACATGTATGTGGGGGTCTTTTCAGAAAAATGAGATTAGGTATGTGAGAGGTGACCTCTTGCATTGTCTTCTAGTACTGCTTCTAGTACTGCTTCTTGTCTGCAGGCTTGTAAGACACCAGGAGACCGAAGGAAGCATATCCAAATAAAAGGGTCTGAACAAACCACTGAAACTGAACAGCTGGGTCAGTGATTCCTTTGGCTCTGTAACAAAAACACAAAATGTGTCAAAAAACTTATGCTCCTCTAGGCTGTACTGGTACTTACAAAGCAAGGTAAGCTATCTTTACCCATCCTTGAGATTCAGACTGGATTAGAACATTTCAGTTCAGCACATTAGTTTCCATCTACTGAGACATTTTTTGTGCTAACTAAACATACCAGTTCTTGTGGTTTTAGGATTTTAAGCTATTTATTGAACAAAAGTTCTTTCAGACATTCTATACATGCAGTTTCCTCAATGATATATAAATTGCAATCTCCATCTGTCCTATTTGAAATGACTTAATCCCCCCAGAAGTTTGTGTACAAAGAAGCAAGAAACTGGAGTAGCTTAATATTGATCTTAATACACAAGTCTGAATATAATTTCTTGCTGACTGTGTTAGTCAAGGGAGACTATGCTGGCAGGGCAGAGACCTGACAGTGACTGTGTGATGGAGGATGGAAAAACACTGCTACCTGAGTTTGTGGCTAGACAAAGACAGGTAACAGGGCTGAAGGCACTTCACTTAATTTATGAAGAAGAGACCTTTCTATGATAGTTAGTTTCAATATAACATAGATGACCTTTTCTGTATGTTAGAGAAAATGTCATTTTCTCCTCCATTGTTCTTGAGAAGTACTCCTACTGAAAGGAACAAGTATAAACACAACAGCAAACCCAAGGGGTTTCACATTTCCTGTAAACAATTCCACAGCTGAGGCTTTTTTGTTTATAATCCCAGCTGCAGTGTTTTCAAATTAGTGCAAAACCTAGAGAACAAGGGCTTAGGAAATTTACCTGTTGCTACAAGACAAGCTTAATGAATAGACCATGTGCAGCAATACAGGCAAAGAGCCAATGACAGTACTATTGCTGATGAACAAATTTGTATCTGAGTCCTCACACTGTTGTTTGTGCCTCCTTTGTGATGTTGCCAAGTAGACACAACTTTTACATAAGTAAAAATAAACAGTGTTTGGTGCTCACAGAAGTACAAGTGCTAGGTAATCTAAAGCAGCACTCCTGATGAGATGATGATGGGTAGCCCATCTCTGGTTTGTTTCTTTTTTTTTTTTTTTTGTTGGTTTTAGCACTACTCTGTAAATCTTCATTAGTAAAATTAATTACAATACACTCATTTGGTATGTTCACTGGTAGTCAAGTTTCCTCATACTAAAAAGAAGTGCCTTAGGCCCAGATACCCATTTATTTGCACACTCAGTCTTAAAACAGGAATCTGATAAACATGACGTTTTAACTAACTCTCAATCTGAAGGCAGAAATTAATCATCCATATTCTACTATTTAAAAAAAGACCAAAAAACCCCAAACAACTTATGCAGCGTTCCATGAAACAAAATCCTGTTGCTTCCAAGAGCTGTCACCTGAGAAGCCTGGGACAGACAGCAGTGAATGACCCGAATTGAGTGGGAACCCATCATGGCAAACCGACTGGCCTGACTGTGCAGAGCATGGGAACCCAATGAGTACCTACGTTGTTCTGAACTACTGCAACCACAAGTGAACAGAAGGAGGCTGTGTTTGGACAGCACTCCTTTCCAGGCACGTGGTTATCCTAACCTTAGACTCAGATGGCCTTGCTTGTATGGTCTGACTGGTTCCAGGATTTTATCCCAGGCACCTGCAGATGCAAGTAGATCTGAAAGAGTCCCCAAATGAAAGTGCCCAGCTGTGTTCCCACAATGTAAGTGTGATTGTTTAAGTGTGTAATTAGCAGTATTGCAATCCTGATGGGGTAAGATCTGATAAAATTCTAACACCTGAAGTTATCAGACTACTTCTACACTATCTATTGTTCCCTCTGCCTCCTGAGCAGCAGTGTCACCCAGTGAACAGGGGGTTCAGAGGCTGCCAGACAAGCTCTGGCAAACCTTGCTGCTGCCACTCCTGCAAGGTGCCAGCCCTTGGTTTTGCTGCCCTGCACAACAGCAACCGCTGGGAGAAGCAGCAGCAACCAACTGTGGAGCACAGCAAACTATCACTGCAGCAAGAATTTTACCAGCATCCTCTGGATTCACTGCTGCTGAGAGCCACCACAATCAGTCTGTAGCCTATGTTACTTGATTCAGAAACCCCTTACAGAGAACCTGTGTTGGAGTGAGAGGAGGGAACAACTTACTGGCATAACTTAATACCGTAGAGGGCTTCCACTATGTGAATCAACCAGGATATCCAGAACCTGGTGGAAAGAAAACATGGTTTATGTTGCTGAAAATCAGGGAGAAGACTGTTGGATCCAAGATTAATTATGCAGAGAATATAAATCTGGAAGCACTGAAGCAACAACCTATTTTAACCTAAAAAGGAAGGGGTGTTTTTCATCTTGAAAAAACCCCACAAGTGTACACTTAAAAGGAGCTGAAGCCCACTGAGAAAATGAGAGCAACTGTAACTTGTGCAATAAGCCTTGACCTGCCATTTGAAACATCCACTAGGCTTCCAAAATTTTCAGCAATCAGATTAAGCCAAAAGCAAATGCTTAGTGAAAGCAGTACAAGTTAATCTTAGTTAAGCATGCAAAATCTATCCTTTTACTTACTTAAAAATAAGTATTTTTAGTGGTCCTAAGGAGCTACTTAAGTTTTTACAGCTTTAGTTCTACTAAAACAACTGTGTGTATAGATTCAGAACATATAATGTGACTTGATAAGCCACACTTGGCCTACAAACTTTTATATAGATGCTTTTGTAGGAAAAAAAAAAAAAGATAATATATTCAGTTAGGATCAATTAAATACCTTGCTAAAGCAAAAGATGCTCTGA